CAAATGTCAAGGAGGACATTTTTCTTCCCTCCATTGTGCAGAACACACAAACTGCCTGAACTTTAACACTGAGAAGGTGAGATTTGTTTAAGAGCTGTGAAGACTGCATTTTTTATGTTAGGCTAGTTCAATAAATGTAAAATAAAGAAGGCAAGAAGTATAAAATGAGGAATGTTTAAAATATTTCCTCTGCAAAGTCTAAGTAGAAAGAATTTTACTAGAAATATTGTAAGGAAGTTCACTTATCCCACAATGAGGTATTATGACAGGCTGTGGAATTAAAATCAATCACTTAAACTTTGAAGCAGAGGGATCCTTAGTTTTAGGATTTAGGCAACGTTCTGAAGACAACCTGAAGAATGAAATTGCAGCTGATGCTTTCATATTATTGCACATTAATAGATAAGAGTACGAGCAGTCTCAAATGACAAAGTATGTGTCAACTGTTCAGTGCAATTCACTGTTTTAGATTCTTGTGCCTATAGTGAAATACATTGCTCTGTAGCAATTGGGGCCATGTCAGAAGACGAAATTGCAGGACTGGGAACAAATGGAGTAGTGCTAACTAGCAAAGCAAGAGGTCGTGTTAATTAGGTACAATGCAAATAAAATGGAAGACAAGGGAAGGGTTTGCCTGATTATTCAAATGTGATGCTAGAAAATCATATTCTGAGCTTAAGCCATACCCACTTTGCCAGTGAAAGCTACTGCACCAGGCCTGCTGCTGCGTGAAAGGCTGATTACTGCATACACTGTGCTGCTGCAATGAAGTCATTCTATAGTCTGATTAAAATAACATCTTCTCATTCTCTTTGTGTTTTAATTTATAGTCTCTCTCCTCTGGCTGAACCTACCAGCCATCCTGGAGGTGAACAAAGAGAATGTGCTAAAGTTGCCAATTCTGGGGCCTGGTGTGAGAGAAACCCTTTGTTTTCAGAGGTTTTATTTACCCTGGAGACAGTTAATCAAAGCCTCACAAGAGCATTGTCATTCTGTTACTTTTGTGTGGGCATAAACTCTTAGTGTCTGATCCCCATGACTGTCTTTCAAATCTTTCAGCAAGCTAACTCAACTGTAATTTACACCAATATAGGGTGTAATTTAGCCTTTTTCAATATGGCTTTAGATAATTAAATTTATAGTTATGCTGGTTGAATTTCTTATTAGTACTATGGACACCAGCTCATGTCCCAGCCAGGCGAAATGTATACTGAGAGTACTTCAGCAGAAAGAAAAGATTCTTTGGATAGATGTAATATCTTATGAGACCAACTAAATAGTTGGAAAAATTGTTCTTTGCAAGCTTTTGGGCACAAACACCTTTCCTCAGGCATAGGGAGAGTCTGCTGGTAAACTGTGTGCTCTCCTAGGTAGAATAGAAACCAATTTTCAAAATGCAGGTCTGTGAAAATGCAAATGTGTGGCAGTGAGGATGAGAGGCCATGGTATGAGAGACAATAGGTGTGAGACAGTTGGTGGGGTAGATGAAAGGGGGAAAGTTGAACTGGTGCTAGAATGTAGCTGGTAAAATGCAGACAGGTTACCCAGGGTTATCAGATGGCAGGAAGGTTATAATGTGCCATAAATCCAATGTCTATATTTAGTCCATCATTTTTTGTATCCAGTAGATTTGTGAAGTGAAGTTCATAGGTTCATATGAAAGGTGTTTTGTAAATTGCCTTCGAGGATTAGAACTGAGAGGTTGGAGAGACAGTGGTTGTCTTGTGAGAAGTGGGCACCTACAGGTAATTGGGTATTTTTGTTTTTGATAATTTTTCTGTGTGCATTCATTCTGGTATATAGTTGTTGTTTGGTTTCTCCAACATATTTTCCATCAGGGCATTTAGTGCACTAGATGAGATATATAACATTTCTGGAGATGCAGATGTAAGATCCAGGAATGTTTATGATTTTGGTGTGGGGTATAGTTATTGTGCGAATGTAGGAGATGTGATGGCAGGTTTTACATTTTTTTGTCCCAGCATGGTCTGGATCCATTTTGTGTGATTTGGGCCATAGGAAGTTTGCTTCTGATGATGAGGTTGATGAGATTCATTGCTTGTTTAAAGGCTAACATGGGTGGTTCTGGCAAGATCTCTTTAACATTGGGTCTTCTTCTAGTATGAGTTACAATTGTTTGAGGATTTTCCATATAGGTTCCAGGGAACGATGGTATGTCATAACTAATGGTGTTCAATGCATGGGGATTTTCTTTTTGTACTGGAGCAATTCTTCACGTGGTATAAAGATGGCTCTTTCAAAAGTGTAATATCTCTCTCTGGAGGAGTGTCCTTGTTGAGTGACAGTCCATTTGAGATTTGTGAGGTAACAATCACAGGTATTCTCAGTGCAAATGCGGTGGTATCAGAGGGTTTGGCTGTACATCACAGCTTTCTCAATGTGTTTAGGGTGTTTGTTGGTTCTGTGCAAATAAACATGATGATCTGTGGGTTTCTTGTATATGGTGGTTTGTATTTACCATTCTGGATACTGATCAAAGCAGTTTGCAGTTCTTGAGGAATTCTTCTTCCAGGTGGGCCATAAAAAGTTTGGCATATTGTGGGGTCATTTTGGTGCCCATAGCTGTGTTCATGGTCTGGAGGAAATGTTGGTTATTGAAGTTGAAGTTACTTTGCGTGAGGATGAAGTGTATAAATTCAGTAATATCTGTGTAATCTTCCTCTTGGTATATAAATGTTGGTATAATAAGCTGGTATCACCCATGGTGGCTAGGAGGATATTGCTAGGAAGGTGGTTTATGTTTTTATGTTTTTGTAGAAACTCTGTTGTGTCTTGGACAAAACTCACTCTTTGGGTGACAAGAGGTTTTAAGATGGATTTGATGAAACCTGATAGTTCCTCAGTTAGGATTCCATGGTTGAATATTATAGGTCTGCCTGGTGTCCCTTGTCTGTGAATTTTAGGAAGCATGGGGGTTGGGCCCTGGGGGTTGGGTTAGTGGGGGGATCAAGTTCTGTAGTTTTTCTTGTAGTTCATATGGAAATGATTTGATGGTGGTTTTGAGTTTTAAGGTGAAAAGGGGAGTTGGACCTTCCTCTAATTTTTTGTAGTAGGTTGTGTCAGAGTTGTCTGTTGACTTCTTTTATGTAGTCTTCACAATAAAGGAAAACTATAGCTCCTCCTTTATCTGCTGGTTTTATTACAGTTTGGTGGTTGGATCTTAGAGATTCTATGGCCCTTCTCTCAGAGGGAGAGGTTGTTATGGTAGCATTTGTTGTTGATTATTTCATTGTTCATTCTTTCCCTGAAGCAGTCACTATAGCAGTCAAGGTTTGAATTTCATCCGCTGTGAGTTGTCCAGTCTGATGGTTTTTTGGTTTTTCGGGGGTTAATCTTTGCCTCTATGTTGTCAAAGGATGAAGTGTTGTTGGAAGTGGATTCATTTTGGTTGTGGAAATATTCCACGAGATGGAGGCATCATAACAATTCTTCTAGTTCTCCACATGGTAGTATATTAGGGTATTTTTCTGGACAGAATTTAAGGCCTTCTGCAGAAACAAATTTAACACTGCTAGCCCAAAAGGAGAGGGCAAAGAAGAATGAGAAAAATACCCAGTGGGCATGTCTACACATGTACTTCAATACACAGTAGCCTATTTTACTATGCATTAAAGCGTCATGTAAAAAACCATGCAATTACGCCAATGTGCGGTAAGATAGGCTACTGCACATTAAGCATCACTTTAAAAAGTGTGCTTTCAGTACTGTGTATTAAGGCAGCCTAATGAGCATTTATTTAGTACCTCACATTGGAGATACTAAATTTAATGTGCATTAGGAAACGCATATTAATGCACATGTAGACACGCTCAGTGTCTCATAGGACCGGGATAATGAGAAGCTGGAATAATAAACCAAATGAGCAATCCAAAAATCAAGGGCTGTCCTCAAACTAGAATCCAAAGGGAATGGGCAGTTAAGTTACCTAGACTTGGTTTACTGGTCTACTCACCTCATTATTGACTCTGCAAGCATTCTATTCTTCAGTCTCCCAGATAATCCCTATCTAACAGCAAATACAGAATTAAAGGCTCCACTTTTGAAAGAAGCTCTGCATATTCATTGCTTATTTTTCATTTTGCTCAAAAATTACACAGAAAATTCTGTCTCAGTTCAGTTTGGACTATATGATGCATATTTTCACATAGATGAAGAAAAACACAAATTATTTCAAATTAAGATAAACTGCTGTATACCATAACTGTAAACTGCATTATAAAGCACACCCCTTCATTAAACTAAGCAAAACTGCTCTGAAGCTTAGGCCTTAGTCAAACTGAAGTGTTAATAAATGTGCAAGACTTCTCCATGACAAATCTAGTACACTCGTATCAATATTTTTTAAACTGTAGGAAATTACTTGACTAAAAAAAATGCCTTTTTAAGCAACATATTTGAAATATAAATATTTAAAATAATACATTTTTAAATGTATACAAAGTGTAGGACAGACAAAAACTACTTCAGTGGCCAATTTTCCCAGATGTGTTAAATAAAAATGCAAAGTTCATCCATTTATTTTTAAAAGATCTGGCATTTCATTAGAAAAATATGAAGTAGAGCACATGAGATAATCCAAAGCCTCTTAGTGCCCTGACTGTATGTATATCTGGTACTGAATGTGCCTTAGGGCAGAGGTGTTAAACATATGACCTGCAGGTCAGATGCATCCCATGGAGCCACATGATCTGATATGGGTCAACACCATGTGCCAGCCCTAGCCCCATGCACCGTATGTAGCACATGGGCTGGACCCAGCACCACGGTTCCTACTGGGGGTCTGTTTATGGGTGTGGGCTGAATGCAATATCCCACTGGACTTGCTCTGCATGCTGGTTCTGGGCCTGGTCCAAATCTGGCCATGCTGGAGTTAGTGTACAAGGTCAACTCAGTAGATGCTGCATGCAGTGCATGCCCTGTGCTAGGCCCCTGTGCCGTGTGCAGCACAGCCAGTGCAGCCCCACATGCTATATGCGCAGGGGTCACAGGGAGTCTGAGACTTGGGCAGTGCACATCCAGATCAGCCTGTCCCTCACCCCTGACACCTCCATTTCCATTTTCACTGACTGACTTTCTTGCCTGCATTGCATGCCAGCCTCTGGCTTCTTTACTATTCCTTCCATCCAGGAACAGCGTGTACACACACACCAACTGCAGGTGCTGCCTCAGCCTGACAAAGGGTCTTTCAACCTGAAAACTAGCATCCCAGACCACTAAGCTGAGTTTATCTGGTGCCTCATAACTCTACTGCAACCAGCAAGCCTCAGGCCTGGCAAAGAAGTGACATGTCTGGGCTTTCCCCAGCCAGGACAGTGTGCATGTGTGTGGTAGCTGGAGGTTATGGCACCTCCTACCCGCCTTTCACCAAGGGGAGCCTCAGTTCTGGCATTTCCTGGGGCTGCCATGCCACCAGCAGTCCCACCAGGCCTCTCCAACCCTGGCAGAATGCAGTTTTAGTGGTCATGCCCAGGACCTGAGGCCTCCTCCTTCCCCATAGCCCCAGCTCATATTTCCAAGTTCATCCTGGCTTGGGAGCCCAGCAGGAACATGTTCTTTCCCTGCTGGCTGGTAATGCAGTGAGTGCCCCCACCAGCTCTGAGAGTGGGGCATTAAATGACTTTTAAAAAATGAAAAAAGGAAATAGGTGCATATGGAGTGAGGAGAGTGGCATTCGCTCCATCTGCACCTGAAGCTTGGGGAATCCCAGCAGCATGACATTCACCTTCAGGAACACCAGCTGCTCCACCAAACCAGAATCCAAGAAGGAGCGGTGGAGTGTCACTACATCCCCAGCAATGCTGAACATGCTTTCGCTTGGAACACTAGCTGGTGGACAGGACAGGACAGGTGTTCATAGGCAACAGTGACCAGATCTGGCCACAACTGGCAGTGGGCTGCCCAGTAGGCACAGCAACGCCTCCACATCCTTGGCAAGATAGGCAGCCCCCAAGGCCTGAGTGCTACCTGGCTGATGGTGGGGTCTGGTGCCTCTGGACCCCACCATGGAAGCCATGCCCTTGGCCCACATTGGCAGCACCTGTGGTGGAGGAAGAGACTGGCTGGTGGACGGCATGCTAGCATGGGACAGTGGATCCCCCTCTTCCACTTCCCCCCTGACTCTCTTCACCAGCACCTCCATCCACTGATTCTGGGTTTGGCTGCTGCATATGCTGCCCTTCACCCTTGGGTCACACATGGTGGTCAGCACATGGACTGTACTGGACTGCAAGGGATCAAGCCATTTCCTGATGCCCTCCTTTAGCTGTCTCACCAGTGCTTGGATATCTGGTGACAGTGGCTTGCCCCAGCCAGGAACATTGATACCCTGGAAGCTCAACATTTAGCTCTGAAGTTCTCTCACTATGGGAATCACCTGGCTAAGGAAGGCATCACCAGCACTGAAGGTCTCGGTTGCCTCAAGGAACGGCTTGAGGACCACCAAGATCTGGGAGATAGTATCCCACTCAGGTCTGTTAAGGGGGCTGCAGATCCCAATCTTCCCAAGCAAGGTCATCTCATGGATGGCCTTCTGTTGCTCCACCAGCCTCTCAAGCATCAGGTATGTGGAGTTCCACTGAGTTTCCATATCCTGCATGAATCTATGCTGCAGGATGTTCAGCTCTCCTGGTTTGTCCCACAGCATCTTGCCTCACTTGATGCTCTTGTGGAAGTAGCCTGCCACCTGCCTGCATTTGGAAATGAGTTTGCTAGTGGTGCTGGCACCATCACCAGCAGCCCTGTCCCCCCCTGCCCCACCCTCCGCATCCCTGACAACGAGGTGGAACTTGTACACCAACAAAGTTGGCATCACAGATTGCCTTGACCATATTAGCCCCATTGTCGGTCACCCTGCCCAAAGAGCCACCCCTGCACCAATTGGTTCATGGCCTCCATGATTTCATAGATTTTCATAGATTCATAGACATTAGGCCTGGAAGGGACCTTGGAAGAGCATCAAGTCCAGCCCCCCCACGAACGGCAGGAAGTCAGCTGGGGTCATAGGTTCCGAGCAAGATAAGTATCCAATTTACTCTTGAAGGTGTTCAGTGTAGGTGCTTGAACCACCTCCAATGGCAGGCTGTTCCAGACTTTGGGGGCTCGGACAATAAAGAAGTTCTTCCTTATGTCCATCCTGAAACGGTCTTGCAGGAATTTATAACCATTTGACCTCATCATCCATTGGGGTGTTCTGGAGAACAAACATTCCCCCAGATACTGGTAGTCACCCCTGATAAACTTATAAGTGGCCATCAGATCACCCCTGA